CTTGCCATAGGGAATCTCTAAAGCATATATACAGTGCATGCTCAATGGCCTCGGTCAGGCCCTTTTGGAAAGACAAGGTCAGGCCGAATTAGGTTTACACCTCATATATTCCAATATATCCTATTACTTGCCATTTTTATTTGACACTACTCATTCTAAAAATCTACGTTATCCAATCATCTTTGAATTGGCTCACAAAATTGGGGTTCCTTTATTCATCGTGCTTTACCTAGAGATTAATCAGGGACCAGTCCTCTTCTCTAGTAGCTTATGCCTCTAAAAGAGAATAAAGCATGTATAAAAACTAAACTGGTACATTGCTCTCTACTTGAATATATGAGAGAAATAGGGAAGGTGTTATACAAAAGAGGATGATGTTTGAGTTGAGACTTTGAGGACAGGTTGATCTTAAATACATAGAAATAAAAGGCTTGCCGGGATTACAGTTAAGATCATTGTATATGGAATCAGAGTTTAAACTCCTTATTATTAAGCTAGGCACCCAGTACGAAGTACCTAGACTATAAATTCATCAGCATCCACTCTATAAAATTGAGATGATAAGACTGTCTAGAGGGGTGTAAATGAGATGATATATATTGTAGGGGTCTGGAATTGGCCACCCCAACGTATGTCTCTTTGGCATGATTATTTGAGGCTAGCTCCTTTGCAGACAGGAAAGCAACTGAAAAGTAGAATTTACATATGCTTTGTAAGAGACATTGACATTGTAAAGGAACTCTCCATCTGTAAAGATGTCTCTAGAAACTCTTAATCAATGGGGAAGGCAAGGACTTAAATCTGCATTTGTTTATTGTGCTTGTCTGATAGCCTCCTGAGACTGACTTCCCTCCCCCTCCCAACGTTGGCATTTCCTTCAGGATTAAGCATCTTTTCTTAGGCTAGGAACTGATTGCTGCGCTCACCTGTGACCACCCAGCTCGAGACAATAGAATTGCCTCCTGCTCCGCCCACCGAGATAGCAGACCCACTACCTGCTGTGTCCATCAAGCGCTGTGCCGACAGGGCAATCTTGTGATTATTGCAGGAGGGACATTTCAATCACATGTGAAACACCCCGTTTGGGGGTATATAACCACTGCCTGCACCCCACTTCTTCGGTGCCCTTTCTTCCTTCGGGAAGAAAGGCCCCGGGCCATGGTTCCTCATAAAGCTTTGTTTAATTTTCTCTTGCTATTCTGTCTCATGTGAATTTAATTCGTTCTCTGGCCAGACGAACCCACTTTGGATAGAGGAAATGTCTTCCTCTCCTACAATATAAAACACTGTTCTGGTCACTTGCATGTTTGCTCTCAAATTTATTCCTTCCCCCTTTTCACTTCAAGAGGTTAACCCCCGAATGCTGGGTTTCCCAGGCTCCCTTGTGATCTGCTTTCTAACTGGGTTTAGACATTGTAAATATTGGAGGAAGACTGACCAGGTCCTCTAGATGAGCCTAAGGTAAGATTAAATTAGTGGCCTTTATTCAGTTGACAATGAGATTAAGAAAAAAGAGAAGTGAGGCAATTAGAGTCGGGGGGAAAGGGAAGTGAGGCAGGAAAAAATGTAAAACAATGCAATGCATTCTCACACTGGATAATGATTCATAATGAGTTTTGAGAAGACAAGCAGATCCCTCAGCCAGTGGGTTTACTCATCAGAAGAGTAGCAAGGAGGAGACTCAAGCTGAAGTAGTTTATAGGAGAGAAAGGAGAGGAGTTTATTTGTCCCACTCTCTTCTATTTCCCATTTCTCATTGGTCAACCTTCCCCTCATGGGGAAGGAACTCCCTGCACTTTTTGCTTATGTCATTTGCCTATAATGGCTGCTCAGAAACCTGGATCCATGACCTGCAGTGTGGCGCTTCATCCAAATCCAAAAATATGTTTATGGAGTGGTGACTGACACTGGTAGGGTGCTGACTAAGAAAATAAGAGGGGTTCAAGAGAATCTGAGATGGTGCACCAAATTAGTGTCTAATACATATACCCTGAAAGGCAAGGGTGAAGGAAAATCTTCCTAATGGATAGAACTTGAAGCAAGTGGTTGTCCACTTTGAAAGAAAAGATGAATTGATGTATATTTTATATATATATATATATGTACCCCTTAACTGTGTCTAACAGGTTGGCTTGTAGGTCAGAGGCTGAACATAAACAAGACTGAAAGATTGATAACAGAGTTATGGGTAGAAGTATGCGTTGAACCTCTAGGAAAGGGTTCAGAATGTGACAATATTTTTGTCCCATGTGAATACCCACCAGAGGACATACATGCAGAGAGGGTAATCAGGTAGATAAGATGACCCATCCTGTGGATGTTGATCAGCCTCTGCCCTAGTCACCTGTTGCTTGTTCAATGGGTTCACGTGCAAGTGTCCATATCAGAAAAACAGATAAGCCTTTGTGAGGGGAAATCCATGTTCATGTATAGCTTCTATTCCCGCTACTATGGACATTTTTAGACAAGAGGCCAAATCTGAGCCTTATTTTCCACTATTTCTAGGAGAGTCTAGATAGTCTTCTAGTGGCACATTAGTTACATTGAACCAGTAGCAATTTATCTTCACAAAAGAGGTAATATTCCAGAGACAAATTTGTTTTCCCATCCACCTTCCTTCTGCCAGCACCACCGTTTTTAAATTTACACCGTAGGTGATCCCAAAAACTTCACTTGCAACCAAGGAACTGATTTTACAATCAAAGAACACAGATAATGGGATTGCACTGTAGAATGCCTTGGTCTTACAATGTGTACCATCAGCCAGGAAAAGCTGGCCAAAAAACTATGAGATGCCCTGCTGAAGGCTCAGGTATGGCACTGGTTTGGAAACCCAACCCTATGGGATAGGAAGGTTGTCCCATAAATTCTGGTACATGCTTAAAACTGGCAACTAATATATGGTGGCCTTTGGATTCACATCCAGTAAATACACACTCTTCAGAGAATCAAGAGGGGAGGTGGAAGTGGCCCCTGTTGCCATCAAACTAGTCACTCATTAACAGAACATTTTCTATCCATCCTCCAGCACAGGGCTCAGCCCTGTTTGGAGGGTCTAGTAAAGAAGAGAGAAGCCCTCCCACCATAGTAAGCAAACTTGGTTCTAACAGACTGGAATTTGCAATTATCCCCTGGCTCTTTGAGGCTTCTTAAGCCACTGAAGAAATGGGCAGTCCCCTGGCTGGAAGGACTTACCCCCTAATACCAAGGAGAACTTGGGTTGCTGGTACGTAATGGAGGTGAGGAGGGACTATGCCTAAAACCAAAATATACATTGGACAGATTCCTAGTTATCCCTTACATTGTTCGATAACAATGGCCAGTGCATTAAAGACAGGAACATTAAGGACGCCGATCATTCGGGAATGAAGATTTGGGTCAACTCATGGGGAAAAGAACACTGAAGTACCAAAGTCCTGGGGGGGCTGTGAGGGGAACTTGGAATGAGGGGCAACTTAGGTCTTACGGCCAATTACCAAGGTGGGGGCTGTGGCAGCTATGCATATGTCATGTTAATTGATCTGTGTGCATATAATTGAACATATACCAAAGCAACCCTGTCATTGACATATTAATATCCTTATTTAATAGATGAGAAAATTGAAGCTCAGAAAGGTGGCACAAAGCTAGTAAATAGCAAGGTTAGCATTGAATCCATGGCTGCAATATCATGAGACCTACGCTCTTTTCTACTCCCGACAGTGGCTTACTCCACGCCTGCAGGCAACAACAGAGGGTCTGCAGTGATGTGAAGAAGAGTCATTTTCAGAGTGTCTGCAAATTCACGTACACGTCTCTTCTTCCCTTTTTTTTTTTTTTTTTTTTTTTTCTGTTTCCTCTTTGCTTTCTGGCACTACGTTCCTGGAAACAAATCTTAGTACAGCAGCAGCCTTTCACTAAGCAAATTCTCTTAAAAACAGAACTGGAGATTTTTCAAAGAAACATAAAGTGTTTTTAGGTTCCCTAAACGTATAGAAAATATCAAGCAAAGTTCAACTGATGTTTTTACTTTAAGCTATACAGAGACAAAAAGAAAGACAATGTCTGAGTTGGAAGGAATTGAGAATTCCTCTAGCCTTCTCAGCCTTCCCCTTTTTTCTTTCCTCCTCTACATCTTATGACCACATGCCTACCAGCTGTGCCTACAGCCTCTGTTGAACCGACAGTGCAGCCTGTTATCTCTGGGCTGTCACTAAAATGAAGGTCTTCCCTGGGTCTTTAACTCTCACGCACCTGTGCTAACTATGTCACTTCAAGCAAGTCATGTCACTCCAGCCTCAGTGTCCTGTCCTGTAATATGAATTTAATAACCCCTAAATTGCTAAATTGTTGTGTGGCTTAAATAATATAACTTGACATGGCAGCATCATTCACAATAGCCAAAACGTGGAAGCCACCCAAGTGTCCATCGAGAGACGAATGGATAAACAAACTGTATATACATACAATGGAATATTATTCAGCCTTAAAAAGGAAGGAAATCCTGCCACATGCTACAATATGGATGAATCTTGAGGATCTTATGTTGAGTGAAATAAGCCAGTTACAAAAGGACAAATACTGTAGGATTCTACTTACATGAGGCACCTACAGTAGTCAAATTCCTAGAGACAGAAAACAGAGTGGTGGCGCCAAGAGCAAAGGTTGGGGGGGGGGGCACGCAGGGCGGGGATGAGGAGTTATTGTTTAATGGGTAACAGGGTTTCAGTTTGGCAAGACAAAAAAAGTTCTGTGAATGAGGGAGTGGTGATGGTCTCACAACAATATGAATGTATTTAATGCCACTGAACTATACACTGAAAAATAGTTAAGATGGTAAATTTTATGCATATTTTACCACAACTTTAAAAAAAATAATCATAATAATAACCTGCTGAAATCCCTAGCTCAGTGACAAGTGCAGAGTTGGTGCTCAGTAAACGTCACTTCCCTTCCTATCACTCACTGCTGTGACACCTGCCTTGGGGTCACGCAGAATAAACCTCTCACTCCCTGATGTTAAAAGAATATCAAGTCTCCTGAACAGGAACTGTTTCTGGAAGTAGGAAGCAGACGGTGGCATGTGAGGGCGAGCTCCAGGCAAGTTTCTCTCTACCCAAACCTCCTTAAGAGCAGCTCCCACAGGTGGGCACAGCACGTAGGTGTGGGGTGATGACCAGCGTCTGAGCAGTGTGACTCCTCCACCTAGCAGAGGGGATATTTTACTGTATTAGATAATGAGGACATGGGAGGGAACGCAAAGCAAGGACGAAATGCTGCGGAGCTGTCGGTCAGTGCCAGCCTCCAAGAAACGCCAGCCTGGGGCGTCAGAAGCTTCTAACACCTGCTGCCCCGACTCTTCCTTCTCTCCTCCTCCGCCCCTCCCTCCCCCGCTGCCTTCTGTTTACCTCCCTCCCATTGCTCCTCCCACTCTCCTCCCCTTCTGCCTCGCTCCTTTCAGACTCGCCTGACAGGAAATCGAAAGTGAAATAAGGAACCGGCTGCCAGCTGCCGAGTCCCCTGAAAAGGTGAGTGAACGGAGCTAGACTGAGGTCCCCCAGCCCTCCCTGGGGGCCATTTCTCCCCTGCCCCAGATCTGAAGAGCCCCTCCTAACCAGTCCCCACCCCTAGAGGCTTCCGTCTCAGTTTTCCCTTCGCCGTCGCTCTCAACCCAGGCCCAGCGGTTCTTCCTGTGCTGGCCAGCTCTCTGCGAGGAGCTGGGCTGGGAACAGGACTTCCAAAGTCACCGAGGAAAAAGTAGGTCTGCCCTGCTGCTGGCGCCTGAGCTGGGATGAGGGGCGAATTGCTGGTTGAAACTGTGAGAACACAGGATGAGAACCTAGCTCAGAGGATGGTCCAGGGTAGCACAGTGTGGGGCAGGTCTGCAGTCCTTGAGACTCCTATCCCTAAAAGTCCCCCTCTGGAGGTGAGAGGGGCAGGGCTGTTCAGGATGTTAGAAATGTATGGATCTCAGGCCGCCTGGTGGCGCAGTGGTTAAGTGTGCACATGGCACTGTGTGGCAAGCCATGCTGTGGTAGGCGTCCCACATATAAAGTAGAGGAAGATGGGCACGGATGTTAGCTCAGGGCCAGGCTTCCTCAGCAAAAAGAGGAGGATTGACAGCAGTTAGCTCAGGGCTAATCTTCCTCAAAAAAAAAAAAAAGTATGGGTCTCTGCCCTAGAGGAAAGGAAGACAGGTACCAGGTTGGGAGTAGCTGAGAAAGAGCCCAGGAAGTGCTCTACCACATTCATGTGTGTGTATACTCACATACGCATATACATGTGTGTGTGTATATATATATACACACAATGTTTTGGTCAACAATGGACTGCATATATGATGGTGGTCCCATAAGGTAAGTACCATGTAGCTTAGGTGTGTAGTAGGCTATACCATCTAGGTTTGTGTAAGTACACTCTGATTGCAAAATGAAGAAATAGCCTGAGTACATTTCTTAGAACATATTCCTGTCGTTAAGCGATGCATGAGTGTATACTTATAAGAATATATAAGAATATAAATATTTATATATATATATATTCATATAACATATATTTAGCTCCTGTGATCATTGCAAAGATTAATGAAGATATATGCCAAGCCCCTTCTCTGGCACAAGGAAGGTGCATGGTAAATGGTCGCTATTATTATGATTAACTTCTCTGCAAAGTGGAGTACCAGCGGCCTGAGATGGGAGAAGATGGACAGGAAAAGCCTGGGTACTGAGGGTTTAAGCAGAGATGGACATGATGAAAGAAAAATTGTAAACATCTTTATCTCTGAGGTTCCCAACAATTTTCACTGTCTCTTTGGGGGAGTCACTTTCCCCTTCTGCCTGACTGGGTCAATGGCCCAGACTATGGACGAGAAGCTCTTGTTATTCAGGTTAATGTTCTTGTCTTTTCTTGTTTTCAGCCCCTCCAGTTCACTCTCCCTCATGTTTTCCTTTGAGTTATTTTGTCTTCCTCACACAACCCTTCTCATCCCCTCCTTTCCATTTCTCCTCTCCCCTCTAGGCCACCATTAGGTCTCCACAGTGCTGCTTAATAGGAACGTTACCGCTATGGCCTCTGCAATGCCTTTGGAAATGATGTGGGAGGAGGTCACGTGCCCTATCTGCCTGGATCCCACAGTGGAGCCTATGAGCATTGAATGTGGCCACAGCTTCTGCCACGAATGCATCTCTGAGGTCGGGAAAAATGTGGGCAGCATCTGTCCTGTGTGCCGGCACAAATTCATGCTCAGGAACCTCCGGCCCAATCGGCAGCTAGCCAACATGGTGGACAGCCTTAGAAAAATCAGCCAGGGTGCCAAGGAGGGCACACAGGGGGAGAGGTGTGAGGTGCATGGGGAGAGACTTCACCTATACTGTGAGGAAGATGGGAAGGTCCTTTGCTTGGTGTGTTCCCAGTCCCGGAAACACCGTGACCACTCCACGGTTCCTATTGAGGAGGCTGCTCAGGAGTACCAGGTAAGGCCTTAACATGGAGGCATAAACAGGTAGAAAGGAGATGGGGCCCTGATGAGTGCTTTGTTCCCCAGAGCCAGGGATGGGAGAGAGTCATCTGTAGAGTTGAGGGGTTAGAGAAAGGGAGGGAGTCTCCTGCCTTCCATGTCTAATTTAAGGGGGAAAATGAAGGCTCAGCACAACCTTCTCATTCCCCAGGAACAGGGGATGTGCTTCGGGAAAATGCTGCAAGCTTCATGTTTCCTTGTGGCCTCCTGGTTAATTAGGAATGAGTAGTGCCCCCACCCCAACAGTGTAGCTCTATTTTGTAAGCAACATCAGGCTTTTTCCAAAATCTCCCCATCCACAGGATTCCTACCCCAATCAGACTCCACCCCTCCCTCCTCCTCTGCACTCAGGCTTTTCTAAGAACTAGGATAATCTTCCCCTACCTCGTGCCCCCCATCCTACTTCTTGGTCTGATTGGCATTAACTTGCTGTCTTTCTCTGTAGGAGAAGCTCCAGCTGGCATTAGGAAAACTGAGAACAAAGCAGGAGTTGGCTGAGAAGTTAGAAGTGGATGTTGCAACAAAGAGAGCAGATTGGAAGGCAAGAGTCACATCCTGAAGGGAATCTTAGAAGCCTGGGCAGGGACCAGGGTCCTGGACTCAAGAAAGCCCTAACGTTAGCTCTGCCTGTGTGAGGAGTGATAGAGTCAGTATATCTCACTGTCCAAGAACCAGCCATCCTCTAGGTCTCTTGATAGAAGGGAATGAAAAGGATGGAGCTCAAAGAGATCCCAATCTGACACAAAGATGGAGACTCTCAGGAGAAGGTGCTGAGGGACAAGCCGTACGCTAAAGCTCCTGCTCCTTGAGCCCAGTCTTAGGGGATGACAGCACCAGTGCCTCGCCATGTGGGACAAAAGTATCCCAGGAGAGAGGCCCAAAGCTATGCCTGTCAGGAAATGACAAGGGCTGTGAGGAACAGACGTAAGGGAACCACCAAGGCCTGAGGTAGGAAACCAGCCTGCCCAGGTGGTTACTTGATTGTGTCCAGATCACTGGTCCAAAGTTAAATGGGGAACTAAAGCCTGTTCTGCTCCAGTTATTTGGAGGTGGGGTAGGTCAGGGATTAGAGAAGAGTGGAAGGAGCTCATGGCCGATAGATACAAGAAGAGGAAGATTTGGAACTGGGGCAGGATGAGTCAGGCCATGGTGGCAAAAGGGGTCATCCTTTGTCATCAGGTGACCCTCTAGTCACTAGCAGGAGAGGTCAGTAAAGAATATCCCAAGACCCCCTTTCCCCAGGACTTAGGAACAGTTTTGTGAGCCTGTCTTTGTGAGGTGGTTGCAGGTGAGGACAGGTGTTACTCTCTCAGTAACTCACTGAGATATGAAGACAAAGGGGCACATCTGGGCAGTGAATGGCTTTTGAAAGAGGTTAAGGAAAGTCTCTGATAGCATAGCTGTGGTTGTGGGGCAACTACAGAGTGCCCCCCACCAATCCCATTCCCCTCTTAGGCCCAGAAGCCTCACCCACCTACCTCCCTGGTAAAATTGTGTGCGTGTGTGTGTGTGTGTTTATTCCCAGAAAGAGCTAGAATGTTGAGTCCACAGGGAATAGAAATAGGTATGGACACCTCCATTCCTGAAGCTTGTGAGATTTTGATAAAAACCACCTCTCTCTTTCCATTGACACTGAAGAGGAAGGTTGAGATGCACAAACTGAGGATTCACGCAGAGTTTATGCAGCAGAAAAACTTCCTGGCTGAAGAGGAACAGAGGCAATTGCAGAAACTGGAGAAGGATGAGAGGGAACAGCTGAGAGTCCTTGGGGAGATGGAGGCCAAGCTGGCCCAGCAGAGCCAGGCCTTGCAGGAGCTGATCTCGGAGCTGGAGAGGAGGAGTCGGGGCTCAGCGCTGGAGCTGCTGCAGGTGAGACCTGGGGACAGTCCCCGCTCTGAGATTCAAGGAGTATCTGAAAAAAGCCAGAGCTCTCTGGGGCTACCATCAGAGCAAATAGAAATCCAGTCGCTGGAATTTTCTTAAATAAATCAAACTGGAATTTGGACCCATGAGTGGTTTGCATTCAAGGCATGGACAGGTACAGATTTAGGAGAGAATATTCCATACGGCAGTTAAAAGAAAAGGACATCCCTAGTAAGTGCCTATTCCAACATGTACTGGCTTTGTGACCTTGAGAAAGTCCCTTAATCTGAGTATCAGATTTCTCATATGTTACATGGATGTTATAAATTACATATCTCGAAGGATTTTTATAAGGATGAAATGAGAGAATCCATGAAGGCTCTTAGGTGAGTGTTGGGCCATGGGAAGATTTTCATAAACGTGATGTAACTAGAAACACTGAACTGAAAATTAACAGACGGTAGCCCAGCCCCAGCCCTGCCACCAATTCTCTCCATCACCCTAAGTTATTTTCCTTTCCCAGACCTAATTCCTCCATTTGTGAAACAAGGAGCAGGGAGTGGGCTAAATAATAAGGGTTTCTCAAACTTGAGTCATAAATGTGTCATCTTTACAATTTCTGCTACTTCTATGAACTACCCAAATGACTTTAGCATGTTCCTTTTCTTTAAATTGTCTCACTCTTTTACCTGAATAAATTTATTTTAAAAGGAAATTTGCCCTAAGCAATAGTAGCCAAGAAATCATGTGTTATGTCACTGATATTTTTTCTGATTTATTTCATAACAATAATAATAACTACAAATTCTTAAATAGCACATATTACGTGCCAGGCATTAATCCCTCATGCCATGAGATGGGTGCTGCCATCATCCTCACTTCATAAATGAGAAAACCAAGGCACAGACATGTTGAGACTTTAGTGAGAGACTAAAGCTAAATAACCTGACCAAGTTCACCCAAATAGTAAGAGGTATAGCTAAGATTAAAATAAGTACATACCTATTTTTTAAAAATTCATCAATGTTTGTTCTACTTGACATCTCACATCCACTCATGTGTTTGCCTCACTTGGGGAAATTATGGACTAGACAGTCTCAAAAGTCCCCTCTACTGTAATACCCTATGGTTCCCCTTTTCCCACACCTTTTCACTTTCTCCCAGTCAGAGGTGGTCATGAAGCCATTTTCTTTCTGGTTTATGCAAAGCTTGACTGGATTGGCTTGATTTGGCAGGCTCTCTCCTTCCCATTGTCTAAATCTTGCTTGTGCCTAACATGGAGCCGAGCTTTCTAGTGTACTTTTGACTGGGCCTAGGAGCCTGCCAGTTCCCATGTAAGGGCTCCTGACCCCTGAAACAGAATATTCTCAAATGATTTGATTTCACCTACATTACGGGGCAACATCAACTACAGCACAGGACAGAACTTGAACTAACCAGCCTTTCCTCCCCAAACCACTCAAGCCCACAAATGGGAGAGAGCAATTTCTGTGCATCCTGACTCGGCCATTCTTTCTCTGTGACTGTCTCTGGGCCTCAGCCAGGCTGAGCTATTTGCCTCTTTCTACTCTCTTCTGCTGCCTCGCCCCAAGAATCTAGTTTTTCTAATTTGTTTTCTGAGTTAAGAGTCCTTAACCTGATCATCCTTCCCCTAGTATAGGTCACACCCCATGCTGGGTTTCTGGTTACCCCACAAGCATCCACACATCCCTTCTGCTCCAAGTTGGTCAGAATGTCTTTCGGGCCTTGGCCCAGAGGAGCGGGGTAGAGCAGTGTCCTGTGGACCTGAGGGTGGCATTGCATCACCCACAGGCCTGAAGTGTCAATGGTAAACCAGTGACTCCAGAACTTACTCTCTGTCTCTCTTCTCCTCAGGAGGTGAAAAGTGTCCTGGAAAGGTAAGGAGGGGTTTTCTTTGTTAGAGGAGGGGTGGCAGGAAGCATGGATACCTGTGAGAAAGGTTATTGAGTTAGAAAAACAGGCACTGAGGCTTTCCCCATACTTCTTACTCTCAAAGACCCAGTCCTCCATAAAATATTTTCTGGTCTCAGAAGGCTAATGAATGGACATCTCAGTTGGTGAGTTGCCCAAAGTAATTGGACTATAACATCTTCACAAAGTGAAGCCATGACAAACAGACAAATTCTGGGAAGATCTGAGTCTACAGCCTGCTGGGACTCCTTTAAAAAGAATCTAACCAGTGACAGACCTCCCATAAAGAGTCATGAGTAAGACCCACGGCATGGGCAAGACTCCTTGAGGTCCCTTACAGAAGTGATTCAGCCTATCTCAGATGCCTTGCCTGTAAAATGAAATGGGAAGTGCTTGTGTGGTGACCTCAGGCTTGGAGAGGAGATACAGACTATCCACATGCTGCAGAGGCCCATCTAGCCAGGAAGGCCTGGATAGGAACTAAATCCCACCTCCTTTTGCCTCCCACCCCCAGGGATCCTAATATAGGAGGTGTTGGTAAATTTGCATTGAATTAAATTATCAGTCATCCACAAGGGAGGTTATAGTGTTAGGTTTCAGGGAGGACGGGGTGGGAGTTGGGGATGGATCTCTAACTCTATTTTCCCCCAGGAGTGAGTCCTGGGACCTGAAAAAGCTGGACATTGCCTCCCCAGAACTGAGGACTGTGTGCTGCGTGCCAGGGCTGAAGAGGATGCTGAGGTCGTATGGAGGTAAGGCAAGCGCCAGGAGTGTGGGACTGGCCTGCTGGGGAGCAAAAAGGGATAACAAAGGTGCAGAGTACGTCCCAGGGTTGGGAAGAGATGGCAGGTTAGAACAGGTGGGACAAGGATGGAGATAGGGAAGGTAGTACCCCCAAAGGTCAGGGCAAGGGCTGGAGCTGGCTAGGGGGTCATTTCCTTACATAGAGAGGTTGAGAGTCATCCCCATGCCCCCACAGACACAGGGTTACTGACTCCTCACACTGTCCTGGCCTAACTGTGTTCTTCTCTCTGCAGTACACATCACTCTGGACTCACACACAGCCAATCCGTGGCTCGTCCTTTCAAAGGATCGGAGAAACGTGAGGCTTGGAAACACCCAGGAGAAAGTGCCTGAAAATGAGGAGAGATTTGATACTTATCCCATGGTCCTGGGTGCCCAGCACTTCCACTCTGGAAAATTTTACTGGGAGGTAGATGTGACGGGAAAGGAGGCCTGGGACCTGGGGGTTTGTAGAGACTCTGTGCAGAGGAAGGGGCACTTTGTGCTTAGCCCAGAGAATGGTTTCTGGGCAATTTGGCTATGGAACAAACAAAAATATGAGGCTGGCACCTACCCCCAGACTCCCCTCCACCTTCAGGTGCCTCCATGCCAAGTTGGGATCTTCCTGGACTGTGAGGCCGCCACTGTCTCCTTCTACAACATTACTGACCATGGCTCCCTCATCTACACCTTCTCTGAATGTGCCTTCACTGGATCTCTGCGGCCCTTCTTTAATCCTGGTTTCAACGATGGAGGAAAAAATGCAGCCCCTCTAACCCTCTGTCCACTAAGGTTGGATTGGTAGGGATCCACTTGCTGTTGAGAGCTCTCTCTGGATACCGACACCCTCTCTGTTGGTACCCCTTCTCAACCCCTGACCCTGCCTCATTTGCCCCTGGATTCTGAACCGCCTTTGTCTCTCCAGAGGTGTCAGGATACCAGCAAGCAGACTTTGGCAAGGAGGTCACTGAAAGCCTGTGTCAAAAGACCTTCAACATCAATATTCCTGCCCTGGTTTGCTTTATGATTCCCTCCATGAAGCAAACTACTTATATTTGGCTCAAACTCATCCAGACCAACCAAAACATGTTTCTATCTTCTTCATGTGACTCAAGTTTTGTTTTCTCCTCTCCATCGCTAGGCCTTTGCTCAGATCTCCATTATATATCTTGCATGGTTTGCAGAAGGACTTCCTAAATAAATTGGGCCTCAATCTATCCCGTTCAGTCCTTGTTCTCGTACACATCTGGGAGTATCTTTCCACCATACGCACATCCGATCATAAGTGGCTCCACACTGCCTATAGAAAAACAGCCATACTTTTTAAATAAAGGCTGAATTATGCATGCCTTAGATTGCCATGTTAAATATCCAGCCTGCTGTGCCTCCCCTATTCCCACCATTATCTCCCAATTGTATCTTGTTGATAGTGGAGTTGGTTAAAGAGCATATCAATCTAAATGGTGTGATGATATTCTGATGTGTCAACCTGGCTAAGGTATAAGCCCCCAGGTTTTCAATCACACACCCATCTAGATGTTGCTGTGAGGTATTTTGTAGATGTTATTAAAGTCTATAATCATTAGACTTTAAGTAAGGGAGATTGAATTAGGCCCACCCAGCTTATCTAGGACAATCCAGGGAAGGGCTCTAAGAGCAGACCTGAGGCTTCCACCTGTGAATAGCTGCTTCAGCTCCTGCCCGAGAGTTGCAGCTTGCCCTTCCTGATGGCCTGCCTCAGATTTAGGACTTGCCTCGCCAGCCCCTACAATTGTGTAACCGTATTCCTTGCAATAAATCTCTTAATATTTACCTCCTGCTAGTTCTGCTTCTCCAGTTGAACCCGGATTGGTATGAAGGCCAGGACTAAGGTAACAGCATCACTTGGTGACAGCAAACGCTTTCTTGAGTTTAAGCTTTTAAGATTGGAACAATGAAGCTCTACACCTGAGCAATAGTAGGGTGTGGAAGAGCCATATCCTTCCAGGAACCCTGATTCCTTATTTAAAATAGAATCTCAGGTTGCCCTCAGTATGTATAAACTTAAATGCTCTCACTTCTCAAAATCCGAGTACCTTGGCATGTCGGGTTACCCTGATACTTGAGGATGCACATTACGCAGATGACAAATTACCATCCCCTTGGTCTCTACCAAAAGAAATTAAGTAGTAGAGATTTCACAGTATCTCAACTTTTATCCCTACCAGTAATTTCTAACAGATGATTTAGGACCACCCTGCCTGTCACACAAAAATTCTCCTGAGAAATGAGGGAAGACTCTGCCAGCACCAATTCCAATTTCAATTAATATTATCCTTTAAAATGCGAATAAGGCCTGTTGAATTTTGTCATCTTTGATTCCAAAACTTCTTTTGAATTAGAAGAGGCAGAAATTAATATACTAAAACTTTAAAGATAAACAAGCTAAGGCAAAAAGAAGTTATATTTATTCACTGCTTACTCTGTCATGCATATTCAAGATCCTGTTTATATTTTTTTAGTTTTATTGCAGCCATATGATAAAAGTATAATCAAGAAATTTAAAGATTATGGTGAGCCCCCTTTTTTTTAATTTATGAAACTTTTATATTTTAAATTGTTTTCAGCTTTATTGTGTATAATTGACAAATAAAAATGATATATATGTAAGATGTAGTTTAAATATATATATATAGTTTGTGAAATGATTGCCACAATCAAGCTAATTAGCACATCCATCACCTCACATAGTTACCTTTTGTGTGTGTGGTGAGAACACTTAAGATCAACTCTTACCAAATTCCAAGTATACGATATAATATTACTAACTGTAGTCACTGTACTGTACATTAGATCCTCAGGACTTACTCATCTTATAACTGAAAGTTTGTACCCTTTGACCAACATCTTCCTATTTCCCCCACCCCTGTGCCCTTGCCAACCACCATTCTACTCTCTACTCCCATGCAGTAGACTTCTTTAGATTCCACATATATGAGCAATCATGCACTGTTTGTCTTTCTCCATCTGGCTTATTGCACTTAGTATAATGTCCTTCAGGTTAATCTATATTTTCACAAATGGCAAGATGTCCTTCTTTTTATAACTGAATAATATTCTGTTGTACATATGTACCAAATTTTCTTTCTTTCTCACAGCTTTATTGAGATATAATTGACATAACATTTCGTAAGTTTAAGGTGTACAATATAATGATTTGATGTACCTATATATTGTAAAATGATCACCACAATAAGGTTAGTTAACACATCCATCACCTTACAGTTATATGTGTGTGTGAGGGGGGGGGGGGGGGGGTGAGAACTTAGAAGATCTACTCTCTTAGTGACTTTCAAATATACAATACAGTATTACTAACTATAGTCATCGCATTGTACATTACATTCCCAGAACTTATTCATCTTATAACTGGAAGTTTGTACCCTTTGACCACCTTCACCCATTTCCCCCACCTCTTGCCCCTTGCCTCCAGGCAACAGTATTTGTCTTTCTCTGACTTATTTCATTTATCATAACGCCCCCAAGGTTCACCCATGTTGTCACAAGTGGCAGGATTTCCTTCTTGTTTGTGGCTAAATAGTATTCCATTATATACATCACATTTTCTTTATCCATTTACTGTCGATGGACACTTAAGTTGTTTCCATGTCTTGATTATTGTGAATAATGCTGCAATGTACATGGAAGCACAGATATCTTCCTCTTCAAGATTCTGATATCAATTCCTTTGAATATATATCCCAAAGTGGGATTGCTGGATCATATGGTAGTTCAATTTTTAATTTTTTGAGGAAACTTTATGCTGTCTTCTATAGTTGCTGCATCAATTTACATTCCCACCAATAGTGCAGAAGGGTTCACTTTCCTCCACATCCTTGCCGGCACTTAGTTGTCTTTTTGATAATAGCCATTCTAACAGGTGTGAGGTAATATCTCACTGTGGTTTTGATTTGCGGTGTTATTTCCTTCATAATTAGCGATGTTAAGAACCTTTTCATATACCTGTTGGCCATTTGTATGTCATTTTTGAAAAATGTCTCTTCAGGTCCTTTGCCCATTTTTTAATCAGGTTTTTGTTTTGTTTTGTTTTGTTTTTTGCTATTGAGTCGTATAGGTTCCTTATATTTTTTGGATATTAACCCCTTACCAAATGTATGATTTGCAAATATTTTCTCCCATTCCATAGGTTGCCTTTTCGTTTTGTTGATGATTTCCTTTGCTGTGCAGAAGCTTTTTAGTTTGCTGTAGTCCCACTTGTTTATTTTGCTTTTATTACTTGTGCTTTTGGTGTGATATCCAAAAGAATCATTACCAAGACAAATGTCAAGGAGCTTTTCCCTGTGTTTTCTTCTAGGAGTTTTACAGTTTCAGGTCTTATTAAGTCATTAATTCATTTCTAGTTAATTTTTATATATGGTGTAAGATGAATCCATTTTCTTTTGCATGTGGACAAAAGACTATCATTTTGTATTCTTTGACACCCTCATCAAAGATTAGTTGACCTTATATGCATGAGTTTATTTCTGTGCTCTCTATATTCTGTTCCGTTGGTCCCATTTCTAATACAAAGCGGTTTTCTTTTTACTATCGATTGCATATATGATTAAATTAACATATATTCTTTCTAGCTGTTTTAACTACAACGTCCCAGATAAGTTCATTATAGGAAATAATTCTCATTGTTCAATATGATTTAGCCTGGTTTGATGATAGGGACCCTATACATGTGCTAAGAAGAGTCTCTAAGAGAATAAGTAACTTCCCCAAGGTCAAACACATCATTTTTGGTGAAGCCAGGATTCAAATCTAATTCTGATCCAAAAACTCTTTTCTAAATACTACTTTTCTCAAGGTAACATGGCAGTCTATCAAAATCATGACAAATCACTTTGTTCACAGTCAGCAGAACCCTTAGTTCATAAATCTACAAAGTGGGCAAAGAAAATGTGAGAGCCTACATTGGTAAACATACCACCTGATCAGTCACACAAACTCAGCAGTGTTTCCACTATGAAGACAAAGTACTCACCACACGTTCTCGAATCTGCCTGGTCTTGACCCCATAAATGATGGGGTTCAGCATGGGGGGGGCTAACATGCAGACATTGGCCAATAGAATGTGAGTATGGAGAGGAACATGTTGCCCAAACCGCTGGGTAATTATAGTAAAAATGCCAGGCAAGTAGAACATGGAAATGACCCCAAGGTGGGAGCCACACGTGCCCAGGGCCTTTTGCCGAGCTCCTCGGGATGGAAGGCGGAAGACTGCATTGAGGATGAGGGTGTAGGAAACCAAGATGAGCAGGGCATCTAGCACTACAGTAGAGAGAAGGACAGACAAGCCATACCAGACATTGACACGAATATCAGCACAAGCAAACTTGGCAACAGCCATGTGCTCACAGTAGGTATGTGGTAGCACATTGCTACGGCAGAAAGGCAGTCTCTTCACCAAGAACACATCTGGGAGTATCACAGAGAAGCTTCTCAGGACCACAGCCAAGCCAACTTTTATGATTACTGTATGACTGAGCACTGTGCTATAGTGCAGTGGGTCACAGATGGCCACATAGCGGTCAAATGCCATGGCCAACAGAATCCCTGATTCAGCAATGAAGGTGGCATGGATGAAGAAGATTTGGGTGACACAGCCATCAAGGGAGATCTCCCCAGCGTGGAACCAGAATATGGCCAGGGCTTTGGGCACAGTGGTAGTGGACAGGATCAGGTCAGCCACAGCCAGCATGCAGAGAAAGAGGTACATGGGTTCATGGAGGCTGCGTTCAGTGATGATGATGAAGACAAGGAGGCTATTCCCAAGGACAGCAACAAGGTAGGAAATAAAGAATGGGAGAGAGATCCATGTATGCTGGTCTTCCAGGCCAGGAATGCCCAGAAGAATGAAGAGCGAGTGACTGGTACCAGTGTGGTTGGGGGTTGCCATGCCCAGAACAAAACACCTGAGTGTTGGTGTATAGGATTTGGCAATCACCTCTTCTCTCTTACAAAAAAGGTGAATAGAGTTGGAGTAGGGGAGGTTTTTCTACTGGATGAGCAGTGATAGCATCCTGGTCAGGAAGTCAGGAAACATGGGTTAGAACATCTTGCCATTCACCTACTTGCTATGTGATCTCAGTAAAATTACTTCCTTGCTCTGGGTCTCTTTCTTATCACTTTAAAACTTAAGTTGGGGAGAAGGTGGATTAGATCATCTGTAAAAGAGTTGTTCCAGCTCTTTAACACCATAGATCTTAGTCTTGGGTTGTTGTAAACAGTTAAGAGCTGTGAATAACCGATCCTGCAGGTTCCACTTTGACCATCAGAATGTGATCTGCATCTCAAAAGGAAAATGGTAACTGAGCTGACTAGCAATTTAACAAACCTCACTGAGCACCTCCCATGGCTTCTGGAGGACCTACTTGGGAGGAGACAGAAAATTAAGCAAAATATCTATCTATATAACACAGATAATGAGGAGAAAAATTTAAACACAGGGAGCTGTGGAAACACGGTGAGCTTCCTAGGAATTCAGAAAAAGTTTTCTCAAAGTGCCACCCTGAGTTGAACCTCGAAGAATAAGTAATAGCTTGCCATGTAAAGTTATGTGAAGAGGGAAGACCATGAGAAAAGTCACAGAGATTGAAAGGACACGGAGTTTGGAGGAAAATTATGATGATTCAGGGTTACCACAGCAAAGAGGACATGGTAGAAAATAATGCCAGGCAGTAAGGGAGGGGCCAAATCACTGAGGTCTTTGAGCGCTACTCTGGGGAGTTTAAAATTTATGTTGAGCAAGAAGAGACACTGACGGATTTGTAATAAGAGAATGGCATGGTAAAGTTAGCACTTTAGGTAGCTCCCTCTTGCAGTGTTGTGGAAGACGGGTAGGGAAGGGAGGAGGAGGGTTGGAGAATGGAGACAGAGATCAGTCAGGGGGGCTCTGTGCTAAGGACTGCATGGACACTACCTCAGTCACCACAGTGTGAGATAACTGGTCATTTCCCCCATTTTACTGATAGGTGAGCCAACAGAGCTTCGAGAGTTTAAATAGTTCCCCCATGCAAAGTCGCCTGGCTAGTGAATGGTGGAGCTAGAATTTGGCTGCCCATACCATCCTTTGAATCACTGCATGGCTGCCCTACTCCACCTTGGTCCCCATCATCAGGTGATTGTGATTTCCTGACTCCTGGCTCAAGGAGAAGAACAAAAAAAATCATCTATTGTTCTTTCCCTTAATCTCCCTACCCTCACTCTGCCACCTACCAATTTATTTATATTTGCCTCATCTTTTCCCTCTCCTTCCTATTCAAGGCTTAGCCCTCCATCTGTGCACTAGACCCTAACCTTCTCTTCCCTGTGAGTACCTCTCCCCGTTAATGTGTCACTCTAGTAATTTCAAACTCTTCCTCTCTGTTGGCTCCTTTTCCTTAGTGTATAAATGTGCTCAACTGTGTCTTCCCGTTTCACCTTGGGTTCACAAAAGGAAGGATGTGCTCTCTCTTCATCTATCCTCTCACCACCCTCTTAATCTTTACCCAATGCCATTTGACTTATAACCCCAATATGGCACTAAAGCTTCCTTCTCTAAAATAGCCTATCATATCACAGTTGCCAAATCTAATGTTACTTTTAACTTCTTATCATTAGTAATCTCCAATTTCTATTATTAATACTTCTTTGATAATAGCAACCATTAAATACTGAGTGTTAGATATATTCATTATTTCTAATCATCACACAAAACCTATGAAATTGAAGTGACATTAGTTCATGCAAAAAAAAAACTGACTCAGATAAGTAATTGCCCAAAGTCAAACAACCTGTTAGTAGCTAAGCTGATATTTGAATCCAAGATTAGTAAGGGCAAAGCTTCCATTAGCTTTAAAAACTTCTATTTTCTTATGTTGACTACCTAAACCATATTTCTTTGGCTTCCTCCCCACTTCCTTCTAATTCTCCTATTTATTCCACAATGTCTAAGACCATGTAATACAGGAAAAATGATATGGGCTTTACAGTGAGACCTACCTGAATTCACTTCCAGCGCAGCCTGCTACAAATCCACAAACATACACAAACTTCCATTCAGATGCATGTTATCCCACATATTCATTTATACAGTCACCACACACACCTTCACTCAGACAAATTTTAGTGAAGACTTACACACTAACACACATTTTCACTATTCACACAAACAGCCCTTCACTATGAATACATGCACACACACACACACTTTTAAACTTGCCCTCACATCTATACCTATCCAAATTCATACACAGTCATTACCTGGTCAAACTCACTCTCACAGAGATAAGTTATGACTTATCTAAGTCATAAATTGGCCTATCTTCATTCAGCACACTGACTCTCCTCTCATTAAATCAGTTTCCTCAGGGAGGTTGAGTTTCCAGAGGTCATTCCACTCTTACTCCTGCCTCCAGCCTTACAGTCCCTTGCCTATGCCGGAAGGGACTCTCACAGAAATGCAGTTCATAGGGCGACACCCATGCTTCACCAGTTCCACTCTTGATTTGCCCACGCATGAGTCAGAGACACAAAATATCAATGCTGGTTGGCACTTTATACCAGGTGTCATCAAACTGCAGCCTGTGAGCCAAATCCTGCTTACTGCTTGCTTTTGTAAATAAAATTTTATTGGAACATAGCCATGCCTAGTTATTCACTTATTGTCTATGACTGTTCTAATGGGACAGAATTGAGTAGTTGCAGTAGAGACCATGCTAGAAGCTTAAAATATTTACTCTTGCCCTTTACAAAAAAATTTTGCAAGCCTCTGCATTAGAATTAATCTTGCCACACAACTTATTACTTACAAAGGCCACAGAAGGAAAGGCAATTTTCCCAAGTCACAGAGGAAGTGAGTTAAGAAGATTTCTTGCTTCTCTTTCCACAAGTATTTCCACCATGCCACAAAGCTTCTGGAGAAACATTTTGTTCTGTCCTCTATGACTCTCCCCTCATGGGATGGAGAATGCCAAAAATGGCCTCTATTGGGTGACCAAATGATGGAAGCAATCCATTATTTTTTCCCGTGTCTCTCATCAATAAACTCAGTTGTTTCCCACCTTCTTTGTCCCCACACACAGTCAGACCCCACCTTTCATGCCCTGGGCAGAAGGGCCCACAGAGGCATGAGACTATCCTGGTCAGTACCAACCTTCATGTCTCCTTACCCCACGTTGTCCATCTCAGCCATCAGGAACCAGACTGGAGCCATGCCCCTTCCTGGATGGGAGAGTGTTTCTACACCCAGCAGACTATGTGCGGTGGTCAGGGGACCAAGCCAGAGGAGGAAATGCAGGGCAAATTATTTTTTTATCTGAGCATCTTTGGGGACCATGGGCTTATTCGTGTACCTTTCTTCTCCCCTAGGATCTCCTCTGCTGCCAGTGAAATCACTGTAAATCCCTTAACTCTTCCTTGTCTGAACACCAGAAGCCCCCTGTGAAAAGTGTGCCTGAGAGGTTATGTGAGCTTGACAGAGAAAAGGAGGTGGGAGAGAGGTTTTAGAGGGGAGAGGTGAGGGCAGAGGATGGGAATATGGTTAGGCACCTTGATCAAGGCCTCAGAACTTATTCCAGTTCATCCTCTTTAGCCCTGACTTCCAGAAGGCACAGAAGCACTTTAGGAGCTGGAATCCCATAGATTCTCTCAAACATTCATTTATTCATTCACCACCCATTCAACCAACATGTAGCAAGTGTCTGTTGACAGCACCATAATAAAATGTTGAGTGGGGAATCTCCCGGTGGCATAGTGGTTAAGTTCACATGCTCCACTTCAGCAGCCCAGTCTTCACCGGTTCAGATCCCAGGGCAGACCTACACATCACTCATCAAGCCATGCTGTGGCAGCATCCCACATACAAAATACAGGAAGATTGGCATGAATGTCAGCTCAGGGGTAATGTTCCTCATAAAAAATAAAATATAATAAAAATAATAAAATGTTGAACAAAATCAAATCCACTGAAAATTTATTTATATTGTTTCATGTATTGAACTAATGCTTTGATTCCATCATCCAGGAATTATCAATGGAAAATTTTCATTGATAACCCTCCAAGCTTTTTACTCCCCTATTTATGGATTTTTATATTGTTGAGATCATATTATACATGTGGTATGCTCTTTAATGTCATAACAAAGGAATTTTCAATGGTAACAAATGTTCTGTAAACCACATAGCTGCTTTCATGCAGCTGCATTGGTCTTTAGTTTGACACAATACCACACACATAGTACTCTACAAATATTTCCTGAAGAAATTGAGTGACAAAATATTTCACCTTTTTGATGTACTACAATGTGTTTAAACATTCTACTATTATTGAATATACGGCTCCCACTTTTCTCTGTTAAAAATATTCTGTGATTGAAAAGATGTTCAACATCACTAATTATTAGGGAAATGCAAATCAAAACTACAATGAGCTATGACCTAATATCCTTCAGAATGGCTATTATTAAAAAGTCAAGAAATAACAAGTGTTGGAGAGGATGTGGAGAAAAGGGAACCCTCATACACTGCTGATGGGAATGTAAATTGACCCAGCCACTATGGAAAACAGTATGGAGATTCCTCAAAAAATTAGAAATAGTATGTGATCCAGCTATTCCACTTCTGAGTATTTATCCAAAGAACACAAAAATACTAATTTGAAAAGATGTACGCACCCCTATGTTCATTGCAGCTTTATTCATAATAGCTAAGACCTGGAACCAACCTAAGTGCTCATCAATGGATGAATGAATAAAGAAGATGTGGTATACATAGAAAATAGAATACTACTCAGTCATAAAAAAGACAAAATCTTGCCATTTGCAACAACATAGATGGACCTTGAGGGTATTAGGCTAAGCAAAATAATTCAGACAAAGAAAGCCAATTACCTTATAGTTTCACTCATATGTGGAAAATAACAAACAAATGTATACGTATGGAGAACAGATTGGTGGTCACCAGAGGGGAAGTGGGCAGCAGGAGGTCAAAAAGGGTAAAGGGGCACATGTATATGGTGATGGGTGGAAACTAGACTTTTGGTGGTGAACATATGATGCAGGCTATACAGAAGTTGTAAAATTTACATAATGTTACGAACCAATGTTACCCAATAAAAAAAAGAATTTGTGATGAACACATAATAAACTTCTGTATGTATTCTGGATTATTTTATTTAAATATTTGATATGCAAAAGAAGGAAATTGTTATGGCAGTGTTTCAATTTCCATATAGTATTTTTTATTATTGATGTAAATTTATCACAATTTAATGATTATAATTCTTTTTTTGTGTGAAGTTATTTTTTTCATGGGAAACCTACTCTGCGCCAGGCATTTTTCAAAGGAGGGGAACAAGACAAGTACCTTTGTGGAATTTATGGTACAGAGTGAAAAATAGACAATAAGGAAAAAATAAAAAGCAAAATCCTCTAGTTAAGTATTTTTGTCCATTAACATTTTGGTGCTATATATTTAGAACTTGTGAAAGCCATTGATATTTTAAAGATATAAACCCATTTGGGGGCCATTTTACTTCAAACTATTTCCTAGGATTTTTCCAGACTAATGCTCATTCACTTTATTGTAAAAGCTAATGCTGCTTTGAGACTCATGTTATCTACCTTCTCCTACTCCTCAGTGCTGTCTGAAGGTCTTTTAGATTCCCCCACAAACCAATGCATGCGAGTCTTTAACGCTGGTATCATAGAGACTTCAATGTCCCTGTGGAAAGTTAATTCTTCACCTTGTGCTCTTGATTCCATTTCCTCCTAATCTCACTCGCTCTCTCTATTCCATCTCAACATTATTATGAACCAAATCAGTAATCATAGTTGGGTAGTCATCTGGAGAGCAGAATGGTACCACTAAGATGATTACCAACCTAAACTATTAACAGAGCCCAGCAAACTTACACATTTGCTCAAATCAGCTCACTCTCCCGCTCCACCTAATTAAAGCTTCATATATACACTCTATTCAGACCTCCATCCTTGATTCCAGAACTCTCTCCTTACTCTTGTCAGAAAAGCTTGCCTCCTAAATCAGAATCAATCAGCCAGAAACCCACTCAAATTAAAGACTAAATTTAAAAACGTATCTGCATCTTTCCTACCCACTACTCTTTCCTTCTTGTTGGAGGAACAGTCTCTCCTGCGAAGGACTAATCCCTCCATTTGTTTTCCAGACACCATCTAAGAAAGACCAGCCTGAGCACTCACAACCATGGGTCAGCAAAGCATTATTTAGAGCTAAACTTTGCAGTATCTGTACTGTCTGGGAAAGCACAAGCTCAGAAATTAATCAATAGCTGTCCAGGTGTGGAGAACCCATTAAGATAAATAACCATATTAAAAGATATTCAACATCATCATATTTCATTAAGGAATTGCAAATTAAAACAACAATGAGGTTACCCATCTACTAGAATGGCTAAAATCCAATACCCTGACAACACCAAATGCTGGTAAGGATGTGGATCAACAGGACTCTTTGTTCATTGCTGATGGGAATGTAAAATGGTACAGCCACTTTCAAAAACAATTTGGCAGTTCCTTACAAAGTTAAACATACTCT